ACACTGCAGTCCCTTCTCCTTCATTCTCCTCTTGGGATCTTGGATATGCACTCAGTGTGTGAGTTCAACCACTGGGTCCGGGCTCAAACCGCTATCTACTGTTTGGGAGTCCAGCAACGTAACCATTACATCATCTGATAGCCCCTCATAATTCTTTTTTTCAGTCTTCTTGCTACTCAAGCTCACTTTTTCCCAAACACTGGGTTGCTCTCAGCCTCCCTTTTCTGGTAATTTACACAGAGATCTAGTTCAGAAACTAAGACCTGGTTTTTTTTCTTCACTCCATTTTTTTATGGATCTCTTAATGTTATATTGTTTAATAATTTACACATTCTTCACGACCCCCAAAGATACCATCCCGGCTGTGTTTGCCCCTCTTGATCTCTGCCTCTTTGGTGCTTGTGTGGTCCTCAGCACTTGTAGCCATTAATATGAGCCATTGCTCACAGTAATATGGGTGTTTCCCCAGCTGGCTGAGAAGGCTCTCTAGACAGGAATCATGCTGTTCTTTGGAGTCCTGACACCCAGGACTGAATTGGAAGTTTAATCCTTCAGTTACATCTATGACCTCGTGAGTAGGAATTATTGATAACCCACTTTTTTTTTTTTTTGAGGTATTTGCTCTAAGGCGTGTGCGCTCGCCAGAAAGAGGGACCGCTATCTACTGTTTGGGAGTCCAGCAACGTAACCATTACATCATCTGATAGCCCCTCATAATTCTTTTTTTCAGTCTTCTTGCTACTCAAGCTCACTTTTTCCCAAACACTGGGTTGCTCTCAGCCTCCCTTTTCTGGTAATTTACACAGAGATCTAGTTCAGAAACTAAGACCTGGTTTTTTTTCTTCACTCCATTTTTTTATGGATCTCTTAATGTTATATTGTTTAATAATTTACACATTCTTCACGACCCCCAAAGATACCATCCCGGCTGTGTTTGCCCCTCTTGATCTCTGCCTCTTTGGTGCTTGTGTGGTCCTCAGCACTTGTAGCCATTAATATGAGCCATTGCTCACAGTAATATGGGTGTTTCCCCAGCTGGCTGAGAAGGCTCTCTAGACAGGAATCATGCTGTTCTTTGGAGTCCTGACACCCAGGACTGAATTGGAAGTTTAATCCTTCAGTTACATCTATGACCTCGTGAGTAGGAATTATTGATAACCCACTTTTTTTTTTTTTTGAGGTATTTGCTCTAAGGCGTGTGCGCTCGCCAGAAAGAGGGAGACAGAGACAGCGAGAAATCACCCCCCGAGGGGGATGGTCACACTGCCATCCCTTTTCCATTCTCCTCTTGGGATCTTGGGCATACACGCACATGCGCCTGGCTTGAGGATAACTCACTTAAAAAAAAGTTTTCTTTCATGAGAGAAACAAGTGCCCTTGACAGGATCTCCTGGTGCCAGGAATGGGCTCCCAGCCAGCCAGCATCGGGCGCCTACATGTGTGGGCCTGGAGTGCTCCACGTGGACTGTGGGTCTGGAGCTGGTCTTCCACGGCGCTCCAGCATTGCAGGGCCGTGACCTGCCTGTGCCGAGCTGGCGGGGCCAGATAGCCACTTTTAATGTGGCAGAGCTAAAGCTTTGTGGTAAAAATGTTTAGTTCTAAGTCTTGTAGCCTAAAAGTATAGTCATGACTTGAAGTCAGACATGCTGTCTGGGATGGTGGGCAGTAGGAATTGGGAGGGTTTCCACGGGCAAGTCTGGGAAAGGGGTAGGAAAACCCAAGGAACCATTCCCTGCCATTCAGAATTGGATATTGACTTCTGCTTGTCTGAAGTTGACCACTGGGCAAGACCTAGCCTGGGAACCTGGCCCAGCTCCAGGGTCCCTTTCAACTAAAAATAGAGAAGATTCTGCCTCCGCTAATTTTAGCTCACCGTGGCGAAGAAGTACATTCTGCTGTTTCTGGAGTGCCGGCACTGGCTGCTTCGGGGATTTTACCCTTCTTGTTCTTTCATCGAAACCTGTCTGTGCAGAAGGCACTCTAATAATATACTTTTATGAACACCTTTTTGTTTCAGTCTTCTAATGACTGGCAGATATTCCCATTTTTATAAAAGATGACTCAGGTTTAGAGGGATTGAAAATGCCTTACATACCCAGGTCATCTCAGTAAGAAATAATAGTCTATACTCAGATTGGACAGTCTTGACTTTCAGTTTTGGCTTTGCTTTTTAGTAGCTGTATTTACTTAACCTTTCTGAACTCTGAGCTAACTCTTTATCTGTAAAATGGGTTACCAGAAGTTCATTCAGGGATTCTTGAGGATGAAATGTGATGTGAAATTGTGTCCTGTTATTCTTGGTCCCTAGCAGATACTGGATGACTTATTTCACTTCCCTTTCTTCACGGGGTTCAGGAACTCCTAGATGCACTCTTTACTCTCTAGGAAATTAAAATTTAACCCGTTGGGATCATTAATCCTCAGGTTGGTAGACTGGTGTTTAATAGCAAGAGTAGTTGCCAAGAAAACCATTCTAGTCTGTTCTGTTGTTAGTAACAGAAAATCCCTGAGTGGGTAATTAATAAAAGCAAATGTTTATTCAGCTCATGGTTTGGAGACCTGAGACTCAGGAGCCACACCCCATGAGGGTCTTCTGCCGCATCACAGCGTGGTGGGGGACAGCAGTGCATGCATCTGTTTCTAGGCCTCTGTTCTGACCTCATTCCCTCTCCTTATGGACCCAATAGGAGGTAGTCGGGGGCCTTGATGACCTTAATCTCAACTCTGCAGCTGGATTGCATTTTCTCTCTCTGTCTGTCTGTTTCTTTCTTTCTTTCTTTCTTTCTTTCTTTCTTTCTTTCTTTCTTTCTTTCCTTCTTTCCTTCTTTCCTTCTTTCCTTCTTTCCTTCTTTCCTTCTTTCTTTCCTTCTTTCTTTCCTTCTTTCTTTCCTTCTTTCTTTCCTTCTTTCTTTCTTTCTTTCTTGCCCTATAGCAAAAATCTCTTTAAAAAGGAGAATGCAGCTGTTTCTACACAGGACATCTCTGCAAAATTATTTATTTTACATTTAATTAGAATATATCATTGTAATATACTAAGTGAATATTCCCATCTTGAATACAAAAAATATCGGTTCAAAGCTATTAATGTACATATTATCGACAGGTAATTTTCACGGGCCATCTCCAGTGCTGTGGTGCCTGGCACAAATGCATGAGCTCTCTACAGACAGGAATTGAATCTTAACTGATTGGTAATAGTCCAGTAATTTGTCTTAAATTTTACTTTGGAGATTTTGCTAAAGACATTTTTTTTTTTGGAGTGTTTAATTACAACACTTTCCATTGTTCAGTCCTTTTAATCAGCTCTTAAGCTATCTATTGGGGTGTCGGAAAATTCATGACCTTATTTGCATAGAAAACCAGAGAAGTACGACATGACTTTTCCGATGATCCAATAGACAGCCGATTTCTATAAGTTTCTTTTTTTAAATAGCATTTTTTAGAATTATTTATTGATTTTGTTTATTCATCCACTCTATTTTAATTTCAGCAGAGAGAGACACAGAGAGGGACAGTGAGAAAGCAAGCCACCAGGTCTAGGACTCTAACTGTGGTTCGCCATGTGGGAGTGTCCAGTGCACCACCTGCTGGTGCCCTAAAAGTTAATTTCTTTTTTTTTTTGGAGAGGTTTTCGCTATAGGGCGCGTGCGCTCGCCAGACAGAGAGAGACATAGAGACAGAAAGCGAGAAATCACCCCCCACAGGGGATGGTCACGCCGCAATCCCTTCTCCTCCATTCTCCTCTCAGGATCCTGGGCACACGCGCCTGGCGTGAGTTTTAAGCCACCGGGTCCAGGATGTGAACCGTGGTCGACTACGTGGGAGTCCAGAGACATAGCCAATACGCTAACTGCTGGTCCCCCTAAAAGTTAATTTCTAAACAGAGGTATTCAGAAAACTTCGTGAACATAAATGATTGACTCAAAATGTTAGCCCCAGGAAAGTCTTACTTCCAAGGAAAAACACTTTCTAGTCTTTTATATTCTTGAAATGTTAGGTGTGAGTTTAGTAACCAAGGTACTACTTTTTAGATGAGACAGATAGCTGTGAGATCTTCCTTTGGGAGTTTATTGAGGATGGAGAGTAGGTTTTTTTTTTTTGGGTATTGTAAGTGGAGGCATTGTGGTTGGGGCTTACTGGGCAGGAATTCAAACTATGGTTGCCCTGTGGGATCTGGCTTGTCTTGAGCAGTGCATTACCACTGCATCATGGAGCCAGCCCCTTCTCACTAATTTTTTTTTTTTTTAACAGGGTTCTGCCATAGGGCATGTGTGCTCACCAGAGAGAGATGGAGGGAGTGAAAGTGAGAAGTCACCCTCACTCCCTGGGGGAGTGGCCATGCTGCACTCCCTGCTCTTGCATTCTCCTCATGGGAGTTTGGGCACACATGCACATGTGCCCGGTGTGATTTTCAAGCCTCCCTGTCCAAGGACTTGAGCTGTGGTTGTCCACGTGGGAGTTCAGCGCTTGGACTACCACACCATCTGTTGTCCCACCTACTCACTGATTTTTAAATTTAAGTTATACATGCTTAGAACTTTGTGGGAGCAGGAAGAATAATAGGAAATTAGGAAACAAGTTTCTTTTTACTTTTGGTGTGAGCTTGCGATTAGTATCAGTAGCCTGTTTCTAAAGTGAGTGACTTTATGGGGCCAGCTGATGGTGTGGTGGTTGAGGTGGTGGATTCCCACATGGCCAATTGCAGTTCAAGTCCTGGACTTAGTGGCCTGAAAATCACACCAGGGGTGTGTGCATGCATGCCCAAACTCTGGAGAGGAGAATGAACGAGAAGGGATTGTAGTGTGGCCGCTCCCTGGGGGGGTGATTTCTCATGTATCCTCTCTCTCACTCTGTCTCTTTCTGGTGAGTGCACGAACCCTATGACGAAAAGCTAACAGAGAAACAGCCAAAATGAAGTTAGTGACTTTACTGTTTAGATGTGTAAAAATAAAAAATACATCTCATCTTGTATCTAATTATCAATTTCTCCCGTTTTCTAGGAGGAGTAATTGCCTATATCAGTTCTTCCAGCTCAGCCTCCAGCCCTGCCTCTTGTCACAGTGAGGGTTCCGAGAACAGTTTCCAGTCCTCCTCCTCTTCTGTTCCATCTTCTCCAAATAGCTCTAATTCTGATACCAACGGGAATCCCAAGAATGGTGATCTCTCCAACATTGAAGGCATCCTGAAGAATGATCGTCTAGACTGTTCTGTGAAAACAAGCAGATCGAGTGCAGCGGGGATGACCAAGAGCCACAGTGGAGTGACGAGTAAGTTTCTTCATTTTCTAGAGGTTGCTGCCACTTATTGCAGACAGGACTGACTTTACCAACTTTTCATTGGGAGGGGGAACCATTACATTTGGGTATACTTTTTATCTTCTATTGGACTATCATAGATTAGTTAGGGAAGCAATCAGTGACGATTTCAGAAGTTATAGCTTAGGGACTGTCATAATTCATTCTTGCCTCAGAGCAAGGTAGTTACACACTCCTCCTGCCTCTGTTCCCCTGGGGGGTGCTCCCCTTACCCCATGTTCACAGTTACTTTCTTCTGGACTCCTAGTACTGAACCTTCTTTCGAGGACACTACTTATTTGTGGCAATAGGCTTATTGTCATGAAGTTGGGGGTGGGAACATTTGGGATCAGGAAACAGCAGCATTGGAATAACCATGTGAGTAATGGGATTTATACTCCAAAGTGAGTGTGGAAGTAACAAGAACTGGTGTAGGGGAGAGGGTTGGAGGGATTGGAGCATAATCTAGACTTTAACAAGTACAGCTGCCTGTGGACACATCCCTTTACAGTTCTTACTGAATGGCCTCTTTGCTTGAATTTCTTTTTCTTTTTAATTTGCTGGAGAGTGGATGTGCTCGCAGGAGAGAGACGAGAGAGAGGAAAAGTGAGAAAGCATTTCTTATGAGGGGTAGTCACACTTCAGACCCTCCTCCATTTCTCCTTTGTGGATTTTGGGCATGCACACATGCCTGGCATGTTTATCAAACCACTGAGTCTAGGACTCGAGCTATTGTCGACCATGTGGGATTTGGCCCCTTTAACCAGTATGCCACCAGCTGGCTCACCTAAACTAATTCTTATTCAGGAGAATTGTTTTCTTAATTGTGGTTGTATACTTTTAAAGTAACTTCAAATTTATAAAACTTTGTAAAAAGATATTATGTATTTAATTTAATTTTATTTATTCATTCATATATTTTAATTTGACCAGAGAGAGACAGAGAGACAGAAAGCAAGAAATCACCCCCCAGGGTGGATGGCCACGCCGCAATCCTTTCTCCATTCTCCTCTCGGGATCTTGGGCATGCATGCACATGCGCCCGGCGTGAGTTTCAAGCCACCGGATCCAGGAAGTGACCCGCGGTCGACTACGTGGGAGTCCAGCGACATAGCTATTACGCTAACTGCTGGTCCCCTCTATTATTTTTAACATGACCAAAGAGAGAGACACAGAAAGAGAGATAAGGGGAAAGTGAGAAAGCAAGCCGCCAGGTCCGGGACTCGAGCCACAGTAGGCCATGTGGGAGTCCAATGCCCTTAACTGCCACACAACCAGCTGGTCCCAATATTAATCTTTTTAAAGCACTTGCAAGTAGAATGAAATCATGTATGAATTTGGAAAGAAAGCAATAGGTTGAAGTGTTGTTTCCCATCTCTCCTGTCTGTTTGTACCCTAGAATTTAGCGGCATGGTTTTACTGTGTAAAGTCTGTGGGGATGTGGCATCGGGATTCCACTATGGCGTTCATGCTTGTGAAGGCTGTAAGGTAAAGCATGCTTTTGTTTCTTTAAACTACTGATGCTGAGATTAAAGACTTGAGTTAAAATTGCCAGTTTCCACAATTGGTATTGGAAGGGAGAGAGGTTGGCTGCTCCCTTACGCTTAAAGCATTTTATGTGTTGTACAAGTAAACTCTTATTTTAAAATGTTTTTAATTCACTGAAATAATTTTCTTTGAGATTCGGATCTAAATCCATTTGCTGTAATCTCTTTAAACGTGGTTTGAAACCTAGTGCACCAAACGACCCCTCCATTAACGCGTTGGGTGCAGCTCGCGATGGCGGAGGCAGCAAGGAACAAGGCACCCAAGGGGCTGGCGCTGCCGCCACCTCGGAGCTCCCGAGCAGACTCTGATTAGTCTCGTCAGATACTTCCACATTCTGACAGGTCAGGTACAGGAAGCTGGGAGTAACTCCTCGGTACCTGGTCACACGTGAACTCTTTAGAAATTATACTCAAGTGCGTAAAAATGATCTTGAGTATGAACTGAGTGCTCGGCAGTGCGACCTTTCCTGTGTAAGTTTAGGTGATTATCTCCTAGTTACTGCTATTAAAGGTTGGTCAGGTAATCCCAAGTGAGGTAGTTTATACGTCTCCGTATATCCAAGATTTTCTTTCTCTCTGATTTTTGGTACAGTACTTTCTTCTGAGTATCAAAAAATGAATGTGGTGAAGATACGTGTTTTTACTGTCTTCTGACTTTAGGCAGGAAGTACAAATGCAGTTATGACAAGCTTTAGTGGGTGAATAAGATAATGGTGACTATACCTGGTGAGAGAGGGCATATTTTCTAGGCTGGCTTTGAATGAATTGTGATTTGGTAGCTATTAATGATTGGGTCTCTTCATAAGACTAGTTGATATTTTTTATGGGTATGGCAGTTTCCCATTGTCTTAAAAATTCTATAAATAACGAAGTTGTTTTTATAAAAATAGGAAGTAATGTAGGGAAGGTTAATACTCATCTTTTAAAAAAATTTTTTTTTATTTGCCAGAGATTGCGTGTGAATGCCGGTGAATGTGAGAGAGAGCCAGAGAGGGTGTGGAGAGGAAGACTCAGGCACGATCACACTACCGTCCTTTCCCCATCTCTCTGGGCAGGATTTTGGGCATGGTGTATGTTTCATGTCACTGCAGCCAGGTTTTCACCTGTAATCGGCCGTGTGGGATCTGGCTTTCTGTGTATGCCACTTAGCCACTGTGCCATAGGGCTGGTGCCATTTTCACTTTGTAGTTAGAAAAATAAAAGCCCAAACTGAATGAGTTAAGTTGTGTATTTCTGATAAATACATACGTCTGTTCAGTATACTGTTGAAATATAGCTCAGCTCTTATAGCACTCTAGAGAAGGGTATTTTCATAGTAATAAAATGTAAAAATGTGTCTCACAATTACTTAATATAGATTAATGAAATGTTGTAAGTATGATACTCAAGGGAAATGCATTTAAAATAATTTTAGTAGTTGTGTTTATGGGTTTTCTGTTCTTTCTAGAACCATTAAGCGAGAGATCTTTGAGGACCTATTGCAGAGCAAGTACCTAAATTGTGTAGTAAAGGCAGCGGTTTGTAGCTGTCTGACTGGTAGCTGTCCCTGCTGGGATCACGAGCTGGTCTGTGGGTGGGTATAACACTTACCTGTTGCTGTCTGGACCTATAAGTAGGCCGTGCCACCGTCAGCAGGTGGTGATCCAGGAAAGACCAGGTTCTCCTAGTGTAGTCCAGAGTTCTCACGAGGGAGTTTTAGCTCTTGAACGAACTTGTCTGGCAGCTTACTGAGCACAGTCACCTGTGTTTTGAGAGTTGTAGAGCAGCACGTGATGAGAAGTGCGAGATGGGAGGATGTGACTGCAGCCAGTGTCTGGTAACAGGAGAGAATGCAGTACAGGGGGTGCTTTGAGCAAGCACAGAAAACCTCGCGGTTAAAGGAGCCACATCCTAGATGGCGACCGTGGTTCGGGTTCTGGTCCTGACGGCCCGAGAAACGTGTGGGGTGCCTGTATGTGCATGCTCTAAATCTCAGCAGGATGGGGAATGGAGAAGGGACAGTGGTGTGCCCATGCCCCACAAGGGGATGCGTTTTTCCTCTCTCCCTCTCTCTCTTTCTCTCTCTCTCCGTGCATGGCAAATGCACATGCTCTCTGGTAATTAAAAAAAAATCTCGAGCAATTTTGTTCGGCTATTAGGTATAGGTGCTTACTGAGAGCAGTAAGAATACAATTAAATTTTGTGAGACAGTGCTATATTTCCTTCTTTCCCAAAGCCAAAACTGTGTCTCAGGTAGTCAGATAATAGATGTGAGCACAGTGCTTGTAGAGTTCATCTGGGTGCTTCTAAGCGAGTAAGTGATCCTTGGTTCTTAGGGTTTCTTCCGCAGAAGTATTCAACAAAACATCCAGTACAAGAAGTGCCTGAAGAATGAAAACTGCTCTATAATGAGAATGAATAGGAACAGATGTCAGCAGTGTCGTTTCAAAAAGTGTCTGTCTGTCGGGATGTCAAGAGACGGTACGTTCCCAGTTTAAAGAGTGTGTTTTAAATGTACGTAACTTAGCTTACGTTTCTCAGCACAGACCGGGGCCATAGGCTGGTTTCCAGGGCCCTCTTCTGCTCAGAGGAAGCAGATTTCAGCAAGTGTCTTTTGGGGCCTTTAGGGAGACCGAATTTATTGAAGCTAAATTTTATCATTATCATTCCAGAAATAGCTTTTGGCTCAATTTCTTTTTAAATGTTTATTTATTAGTCTTAAATGTTTGCTATAGAGCGCATGTACTCACTGGAGAGAGAGAAAGTAAGTGAGGAAGCATCCCCCAAGGGGGGTGATCACCCCACCATTCCTATTCCTGAATTCTCCCCTTGGGATTTTGAGCATGTTTGCACATGCCTAACATGGTTTCTAAGCCACTGGGTCTGGGACTCGAACCATGCAGTGGCCATGTGGGTGGAATTCAGCTGCCTTAACCACCATGACACCCTTAACTAACCATGGCTCCACTTTTTTCTTATTGCTCCTTATAAAATAGACCTGTCTCGTTTTATGCAGTGCGAATACATTTTTTCTTCATTTCTTATAGTTGCTGATGCATCCTTTTCTTATATAAGTGATCTCTCTCACTTTTTTTTTAAAAGACTTTTGCCTTAGGACATGTGCTCTTGGGGAAGGTAGGAGAGAGGGGGGAAGATAGAAGAAAGACAGACAGACAGTGAGAGGGGAAGTGAGAACTCACCCCCCCCCCCAGGGCGATGGCCTTGCTGCAGTCCTTTCTTCTAGGATCCTGGGCACACATGCACATGTGCCCAGTGTGAGTTTCAAGCCACCAGGTCTGGGATTCAAACCGCAGTTGACCATGTGGGAGTCCTCTGATATAACTGCTGACTCCACTCTTTCACTTTCTTATCCCTGAGACAATAAGGTAGTTTTGGGGTAGAGATTGTGAACAAATGGAAAGATGTAAAGTTGAAAGAAACATTAGGGTGTGGAATAGGCTTGATTCTGGCATGATCCAGTCCCATGGAAAATAAAAGTCGTGCTAATTTGTGAGACTTATTATCTATGGAGGGTATCATTTGAAGATTTGATTCCCTGTTTCTGTTTATGGAATCTCTTGGATAGGTTTTTCTTGTTTGAGAGATTTTTATTATAGGGTGTTGGCACTCATGAGAGAGACAGAGACACAGAAAGTGAGAAATCACCCCCCCAAGGGGGATGGCCACACCACAGTCCCTTCTTTTTCATTCTCCTGGGATTTTGGGCACGCACGCACACATACACCTTCTGTGAGTTTTAAGCTGCAGGATCTGGGACTTGAACCACAGTTGACTGTGGGAGTCCAGCACCTGTTGACCCTGAGTATTATTATTATTTTCTGACTTAGGTAACATAACAGAGGGGTATGGGTATTCAGAGAGTTTAGTTTAATAAGGTTATTAAGAATTGCTGAGACTAGCAGATGGTATAATGGTTATGTCGCTGGACTCCCTCATGGCTGACCATGGTTTGAGTCCCCGATCTGACAGCTTGAAACTCGTGCTGGGTGTGTGTGTGTGTACATGCCCAGAATCCCGAGAGGAGAATCAAGGAGAAGGGATTGAGGCATGGCCATCCCCCTGGAGGGTAATTTCTCGCTTTCTGTCTTTCTGTCTCTCCAGTGGAGTGCACATGCCCTATAGCAAAAATCTCTCTAAAAGAAGAAGAAAAGAAGAATTGCTAAGAAGGGACTTTGTATTTATTGGGTGGTTAGAAAACTCATGATGCATTTTTGCATAGGAAAACAGAAAAATACGGATGACTTTTCAGACTACCTAATACCTAGGAAAGAGTCATTTAAGCAATCCTTTAGATTACTTTAAGTGGAAATAGAATATTGCAGTAGGAGTTTATAAGATAATAAATTAGAGCAATAAATCTTTTTTTAAAAATATTTTGCCGTGGAGTGCATGTGTTTGCCAGAGAGACACGGAGAGGGGGAAAATAAGAAAGCACCAGAGAGAGAGAGACAGAGAGTGTACAAATAAAGCACCAGACTGGGGGGTGGATGTGTGACAAAATACCCCCCTCCACCCCCCTAGAGATGGCATGCTGGAGTCCTTTCTGCTCTGTTCTCTAGGGATCTGGGTAAGCACGCACAGACACCTGGTGTGTTTTTCAAGCTGCTGGGTCTGGAACTCCAACTGTGCAGTTGGCTATGGAGGGTATCCAGCCACTTTAACCATATACCACCAACTGGTCCCATTTTTGGTGTTTTTTCCAGTTGCCTGAAAATGTTTTTCGGTGGCACTAAAAATACTAGTGGTGTAAAAATAGCAGATGAGTATTATGGTTGCCCTAAAACAGTAAATCCGGCAATCCTTTGTGAAGGAAGGAGTTAGAGGTGACGTATGGGACACGATAAAGTTGTTTTGTCTTTGAGAGCACAGATGTCCGAGGCCACAATTAGATGAGTAAGGTGTTCTTGCTGAGTGGCCATATTGAGTTTTTACTATCTTTGTAAATATTAGACTAGAAAGAAAATTTTCATTTCCATCCATTGGGGCTAGGATTATTGGAAACACGATATTTTCTAACATTAACTTCGAAAAGAATAGAGGATGACTGATTTCATTTTTATTTATTTAATTTATTTTAATTAAAATCCATCAAGATTGTTTTCCATTTCTATTGATTGTGTTTTTTTAAAAATAATTATTTATTCATTCATTTATTTAATTTGACGAGAGAGAGAGAAAGTGGGAAAGCAAGCCACCAGGTCGTGGACTCGAACCGTGGTCAGCCACATGGAAGTGTCCAGTGCCTTAACCACCACGCCACCTGCTGGTCCCTGATTGTGGTAATTTTTAAAAATTCTTGTTTAAGAAGCCAGAAAAAGAGAATTTAAAAGTTAGGTCTTGAGAATAAAGTTAGAAAAAATCAGTTGACGAGGATTAGATGTTCAGGGAGCGTTTGTCCCTCCTGAGTTCCACTAATGGGTGTAGGTAGCTGAATCCCACTTTAGAACAGAACCTTGTCAATAAGGAGCCACAGTACTGTTGGTCTGCCTCATTTCATTATAATTTCTCCTTTTTTCCTTAGCTTTCATATATAAGAGATACTAGATAAAGTTTCTCTGTAGCTTTGCCTTGAGAGAAAAGTGGAAAAAACTATCTTCCTCTCTCATTTCCTTTGGTGCAACAAGACCAGCAAGTTTAGAAAATTTTTAGAGACATGTAGCCATTTTTTACTTGTGTGATGAGAGGCCATGATTATCAGATAACTTTGTGTTACTCTTTTGAACAAACAGGTCTTATTTAGAATATAGATGTTAAATATCTTTTTCTTCAATAGCTGTTCGGTTTGGTCGTATCCCTAAGCGTGAAAAACAGAGGATGCTAATTGAAATGCAAAGTGCGATGAAGACCATGATGAACAGCCAGTTCAATGGTCACTTGCAGAATGACACATTAGTAGAACATCATGAACAGACAGCCTTACCAGCCCAGGAACAGCTGCGACCCAAGCCCCAGCTGGAGCAAGAGAACATCAAAAGCTCTCCTCCTCCCCCTTCTGATTTTGCAAAGGAAGAAGTGATTGGCATGGTGACCAGAGCCCACAAGGATACCTTTTTGTATAATCAAGAGCAGCGAGAAAACTCAGCTGAGAGCATGCAGCCCCAGAGAGAACGGATTCCCAAAAACGTGGAGCAGTATAATTTAAATCACGACCACTGTGGCAATGGGCTTAGCAGCCATTTTCCCTGTGGTGAGAGCCAGCAGCATCTCGATGGACAGTACAAAGGGAGGAGCATGATGCATTACCCGAATGGGCACGCCATTTGTATTGCAGATGGACACTGCATGAACTTCTCCAGTGCTTATACTCAAAGAGTATGTGATAGAGCTCCGGTAGATGGATTTTCTCAGAATGAGAACAAAAGTAGTTACCTGTGCAACACTGCAGGGAGAATGCATCTGGTACAGTGCACTCAGTTTCTTGCTCACCTTGTATCAAGGAAAGCTTTGAAGGTTTTCTTTTATTTGGGGGATATGCCAACTTGGGTGGGAGGATGTCGGAAAACCTAAGGGATTTACAGAATCAACGGTGTGCAGTGTTTTAGGTCAGGTAATTTTAATAGACATCACTTACTGAATGACCTAATTTGACACGGTGCTAGATAAAAGAACATGATTTAATCGATAACCGTGATTGGGATTAGGATTTTATGTAAAATACAATTTGTGCACAAGTGGTCCTTTAATTCTTGGAAATCCCTTTGAAACTTTAAGCATTCTGATTAATTAGTACCTTATCGCTTTTGGGATTTTCTCAAAGGACTGTTACAGAAGTTTTTTGATTTTTATGGGAAGGGAAGAGTTTTTTAAACCATTATGTCTTTACAGAACATAGATATTTTGTTCTTGCGAATTTAGAGATATTTAATAGGTTAGTTTTTAAGGATTTTCTCAGACTTTATCCTTCAAGATGAGTTAGTGTTATTTATATTTTTCAAGGTTTTTTTTTTTTTTTTAAACAAATGCAAAATTCTAAGAGTTTTTTAAACCATTATGTCTTTACAGAACATAGATATTTTGTTCTTGCGAATTTAGAGATATTTAATAGGTTAGTTTTTAAGGATTTTCTCAGACTTTATCCTTCAAGATGAGTTAGTGTTATTTATATTTTTCAAGGTTTTTTTTTTTTTTTTTAAATTAAATGCAACATTCTACATGAAATTACAGTATTCATAAGCAACGGTATTGCAGTTTAAACCATGAGGTCCTGTGATAATGCTTAGTATTTTCTACTACCAGGTAATTAAAGTCTTCTTTTTCCATTTTCAAAATAATTGGCTGTACTATAATCTTCACATTAGATTTTCTTTGTCCCTTCCTTGCAAATATTTGCTTTCATGGATTGGAAAGGTGACCCTATGTTTCGTTAAGCTTAGTGGCTGCCTGAAGGAGGGAAAGATCTATAAGCATTTAGGTTCTGGTTTTGTGGTATTCTCCATAGTTTAGAATTATCCCATTCCTGGATCTCATAGGGATTAAGTGAAAATTTAAAGGCTCATTTTATTAATATGGTGCATGTTTCATAATTATTTTTAGAGTTCTTTTAACTTCTTTAGCTTCCTATTTTCCCTCCCCCAATCTTCATTTACAAGGGGCACCTCGTGTCTGCATTAATTTTTTCCCAGTTGAGTAAACGGAGGTCAGTGGTCCCACCGTTGTTCATGAAATAAAGGGTCAGTGACCATTTTATAAAAGTGAGGTGCCCTTTTGGGATTTGTGTAAATGTAGGTTTGGGCCCAAGGTTCGTGATTTCTAGCTATGTTTGAATAAGTCACCAAACCTTTCAGTCTTATTCCCTCATCTAAGAAGTGGTCATTTCAGTCTGCCATGACTGCCAGGGTTGAATTCGTTTTGAAAACCATAAGGTACTGTTTGCTAGTATAGGAGTGGCAGAAGTATTACAAGATAAACTCCTAACCCTATGTAACATTTTACTTGCTAATAGATGGAGTTTTGCTTAGGCTTTCCCTTTTCTGGTAATAAGTTAATTGCTATTTAGATGGCCACATTTTAAAATGATTATTGTGTAAAAGTTATATTCTGTACTATACCACTTATCTTTTTTTAATGTGTGTTCACCTTTCATTGGCTAGAATTGGTTTTTATTGTAAATTGACAGTTTCTAACTGTATGTATTTATTGCCATGAGGCTCTCTCTCACAAGGTGAGCAGCACCTGGAGAAAGTGTTACTATCAGTAGATTTCACTTGCACTTGGGAGTTTTGTTGGGTTTTCTGATGACTAAGGTGCTGCTTTTGAAACTTCTTTGCTCCATCTCACAATTTTAACGAGTTTTTCTGTTTTGCGTGTGCTAGGTTTGTCCAATGAGTAAGTCTCCACACGTGGATCCTCATAAATCAGGGCATGAAATCTGGGAAAAATTTCCCATGAGTTTTACCCCAGCAGTGAAAGAAGTAGTGGAATTTGCAAAGCGTATTCCTGGGTTCAGAGATCTCTCTCAACATGACCAAGTCAACCTTTTAAAGGCTGGGACTTTTGAGGTAGGTTCAATATATCCTGAATATGCAGGGCATGCAGTTTTTAATTTTCATGGACATTTTAATTCTTTTCTAAATGTTTATAGTCAGAGTCTGAAACTTCCGACGAAAGAATACTCATCTGAGGATTTTGCGAAGTGACTAGGGAAAGCCAGTTATTCGGGACTTGAGACATTTTTAGCTGCAGCGGAAGAACTGCAGGTGTTCTCGTATTACTTTCAGGAGGGAACACAGAAGCTTCTGCAGAGTATTAGGCAGCTACTGAACGACTAGCCCAACATTTATTCTGTTCGTACAGCATGAGGGGGCAAATAGAATGTGGCTTTTGGTCTTTTAGGAAATTAGAGAATATTTCAGACGGGTGTGTGAAATCTCTCATGGGCCACTTCAGATCCTCTTGGCCTTACCTTCTTCAGGACCCCTGTGTACTTTTTCTTACTCCAGCCTCTCTAGAATGATGCATTCTTTTCTTTTTCTCTTTCCTTTTCGAGGTTTTTGCCTTAGGGTGCATGCTCTCATCAGAGAGGGAGAGAGAATGAGAGGGAAAATAAGAAATCACTCCCCAAAGGTATGGCCAAGCTGCAATCCCTTCTCCATTCTCCTGAGATTTTGGGCATGCACACACGCACCTGGTGTGAATTTTAAGCCACCAAGTCTGGGATTCAGACTGTGCTTAGCCATGTGGCAGTCCAGCATCTTAACCGCTACAGCATCTGCTGGCCCTACAATAATGCTTTCTGCCTAGGCTTGGGCAGCCACTGCTGCCACCTTCGGTAGGACACAGATAGACAGTGCTTCTGCTGCTGCTTGGTTAGATGCCTTTCACTTCCTGCCTGTCCCAAGGTTTTCCTCTTGCTGCTAAGACATGAGAAGCCTTGGGACCTGCTCAGAGCTCACCTACAATAAATCGAGGACTGGGGGGTACTGATGTTTGGTGAGCAAAATCTGTGAGTCTCTGATCAATGGGAGCAGGAGCCAGGGATATAGTTTCACTTCTCCCTGGATGGCCTCGTAAGATCAAGCTATCAGTTTTTTTTTTTTTTTTTTTGGAGAGGTTTTTGCTATAGAGCGCGTGTATTTGCCAGACAGACAGAGAGAGACGGAGAAATAGAAAGAGAGAAATCACTCTGCCAGGGGGGATGGCCACGCCACAATCCCTTCTCCTCCGTTCTCCTCTTGGGATCTTGGGCACGCACGCGCATGCACCCAGCGTGAGTTTTAAGCCACTGGGTCCAGGATTCGAACCACAGTCGACTGCATGGGAGTCCAGTGACATAGCCATTACGCCAACTGCTGGTCCCTCAGTTGTTCTTGATACCACATTTATCAGAGATATTTGCTCTCTGCCCTTCCCTGTTGCAGTTCCTTTCACTTCTCTGTTCTGTGCCAGTTCATCATTATTTATTTATTTTTAATTTGATCAGAGAGAGAGAGAGAGGGAAAGTGAGAAAGCAAGTCACCAGGTCCATGACTCGAACCATGATTGGCCATGTGGGGATGTCCAGTGCCTTAACCACCACGCCACCTGCTGGTCCCTAAGCTAAAGATTTAAAGGCAGAGGGCTGGCAGTAGCATGGTGGTTAATTTGCTGGACTCCCACATGGCTGACTGCACTTGACATGCTGGAGCTGGTGGCTTGCTTTCTTGCTTTCTCTCTCTCTCTCATTAAATTAAACGATGGTAATAAGTAGAGTTAAATAAACAATTCTTTAAAAAAAGATTTAAAGGCAGAAGAGATGTTAGTGATCAAGTCCGGTCCACTTCTTTTGGAAGGTGGGCAGTTATAGCTCAGAGAGCCGAAGTGGCTTCTCGGAGCAGCAGTGAATTCATAGCACAGCCAGTGCCAGAACGTAAGTCTCTGCATCGAGAGTTGTGTCCTTTCCACCTTGTGGTCTGTCTTGGGGTGCTGTGTTCTGAGGTGAGCACCAACGTCTCAGAAGGCTCCCTCTTGTTTATCGTCTTCGGTAAAACAAACATTTGCTTGAGAGCAGTGCAGAAGGAAGATGCTTGTTCAGTGTCCCTCTGGTTTTGAGAGAAATATGTGACTTAAATATCACCAGTTGGTGTAGTAGAGTGAGTGCTGAGGTAAGTAATATCGTTAACTGATTCGGTTTGGATGTCAATCACAACTTGGTGTTTGGAACACTTTTACTGTAATAGTTTTCTTTGTGTATAGTCTTTGGGTTACAGTTTTTTTTTTTAAAGAATTATTTATTATTTATATTAATTCATTTAATTTTAATTTGACAAGAAAGAGAGAGAGAAAAAGCAAGCCACCGGGTTCAGGACTTGAACTGTGGTCGGTCATGTGGGAGTGTTCAGCACCTTAACCACCATGCCACCTGCTGGCCCCCCTATGGGTTACAGTTTTTTGAGATAGTCTAATTAACATTCATCTGCGTTGGCTGCATTTGGTGTTTTGATGTTTCCAAGTGTTGCCGTATGGAAATGTGCTTTTTACTCAGGATGGAGAGACCGTGTGATGTATTTGGTAACTGAAGGTGTTGTTTTAATGCTTTTGACCTGGCCCTTGGCATTATTGCTTGCTTTAGTTTTCTGTTTGAATATCAGAATTCTTGTTAATAGAGTTTCAGAGTATCATAGAACTCAAGTATTTTGCCATTGATGGCTGGAATTTCTTTGGATGTTCTCGCAGTACTTACTGTTTTGGTAAAGAATTTGTTTTAAGTCACAGGTAAAAATAAACTGTTTTCTTTTACAACTTTTTTTTTTTTTTTAATTTCTCTCTCTCCTTTTTTTTTTTTTTTAAGTTTACAACAGAGCATATGCACTTGTGGTGGGGAGGGAGAGAGAGAAAGAGAGAGAGAGAGAATGAATGTGAGAAATCACCTCTCTGCAATCTCTTGTCCTCTTGGGATTCTGGACACACGTGCATATGTGTTTACAAGCTGCCAGGTCCAGAATTTGAACTCATGGTCTGCCATGTGGGTTCTAGCTGCCTTAACCTCCACTCCACTTGCTGGCCCCTTTTATAAAAAACTTAATTTATATGTAGGATGTTCCCTAACTGACTTGAATACTTAGTTATTTCTTAGAATTGTTGTTGATCTTTAACTACATTTAAGTCTTTTTCTTTTTCCAGGTTTTAATGGTACGATTTGCATCATTATTTGATGCAAAGGAGCGTACTGTCACCTTTTTAAGTGGCAAGAAGTATAGTGTGGATGATTTACACTCAATGGGAGCAGGGGATCTGCTAAACTCTATGTTTGAATTTAGTGAAAAGCTAAATGCCCTCCAACTTAGTGATGAAGAGATGAGCTTGTTTACAGCAGTTGTGCTGGTGTCTGCAGGTAAGCAAGCTGGCTCACACTGTGCTGCGTCTAGAGGATAGTGACTACCGGGGAAAAGGTGGCCGTTAACTAGGTTCCAGCGAGCTGTGTAGAGGGTAAGGGCTTAAGGGGGGTTCGAATCATGTGAACTACTCCTTTTGGATATATGTGTTTTTTAATCATGACAGTATAAGTCAAAGTGCCATAGTAGTAATACAGTGTTCACCTCTGGACCTCACGTTTACTGCTTTTAGTCTTCAGCTTTTGTTTATAACTTTTTGGAATAAACTCTAATTTTTTTTTTTTTTTGAGAGGTTTTTGCTATAGGGCGCGTGCACTCGACAGAAAGACAGAGATAGACAGAGAGACAGAAAGCGAGAAACCACCCCCCAGATGGGGGTGGCCACCCTGCAATCCCTTCTCCTCCATTCTCCTCTCGGGATCTTGGGCACGCACGCACACGCGCCCGGCGTGAGTTTTAAGCCACTGGGTCCGGGACGTGAACCGAGTACAGCGACATAGCCATTACGCTAACTGCTGGTTCCTGTATTTATTCATTCTTTTAATTTGACAGAGAGAGACACAGAAAGAGAGGGCAAGTGAGAAAGCAAGTCTCCCGATCCGAAACTCAAACCATGGTTAGCCATGTGGGAGTGTCCAGCACCTTAACCACCATGCCACCTGCTGGCCCCAGATTCACTAAAGATCATAATTAATTTAAAAACTTTGAGTAGCAAGCACAGCTAATATATACATACTTGTGAACACATGTCTGACTTATGCGTAAACCTCAGCGAGTAAAGTGAACATAGTATAAAGTAGCACCTTTATAGTAAGGGGTAAAGGGCTATATTGCTTACTTCAGTCATTAAATAAGTTTTAGTAGGTATTTTTTAATGTATTTTTTAATTTCAAGAAAAAGTTTTATTTATTTATTTATTTTTTGAGATTATTTTCGCTATAGGGCGCGTGCGCTCACCAGACAGAGAGAGACATAGAGACAGAAGGCGAGAAATCACCCCCCAGGGGGGATGGCCATGCCGCAATCCCTTCTCCTCCATTCTCCCCTCGGGATCTCGGGCACGTATGCACACGTGCCCGGTGTGAGTTTTAAGCCACCGGGTCCGGGACGCGAACCATGGTCGACTACGTGGGAGTCCAGCGACATAGCCATTATGCTAACTACTGGTTCCCAAAACAGTTTTATTTTTATTAGACCAAAATAAAAAAAAGTTAAGAGAAATTTGCTTAAAGCTTAAAGCCAGGAAAAAGGTTAGGATTCAGTTCAAATAGTAGGTAGATGAACCTATCAACAATTCAAGAGAAGACAGAAATCCTTAAATAGGGAAATCAAAACATTGAAGAAAATCAGTAATGTTTTAGTCTAAAGTAAAAAAAAATTCTATTTTACCAGTTTAGTCTCATGTGATTAATCTCTTCTACTGAACTTGTAGTGTTACTGGGGTCTGATCTTTTCATTTGAACTCCGGAAATTAACACTCAACTCCGGACTTGTCCCTACCATTAGGCTGGCCATTCCCTTGGTTGTTTCTTGGACTCTTATTTCTTGTGTGTCCAATTTTAGTTTTCCTGTATAGCACTCCCTTCAGCACTTCTTGGAGAGCTAGTTTGGTTATTGATAAATGCTTCAGGTTTTGTTTATCTGAAAATATTTTTGTCTTTTTTTCCCCCATATGAAATAATCTTGCTGGGTATAGAATTCTTGGTTGAAATTGTTTTTCACTTAACACTTTGAATATATTTCCCCATTCTGTCCTTGCTTGCATTGTTTCCAGTGAGAGGTCCGATGTTAGACTGATGGAATATCCTTTGAAAGTAACTTGACGTTTCTCTCTTGCCAATTTTCGTATCTTGTCTCTTTCTGTGGTTTTGGTCAATCTGGCTATGACATGCTTTGGGGAAGATCTTGGGTTGATTCTATGTGGCCTTTATATTTCTTGGGTCTGGATATTTGAGCACCTCTCTAGGTTTGGAAAGTTTTCTTCCATGACTTCATGGACTAGATTATCAATACCCTTTATTAGTTTCTTGACCTTTTGGGATACCAGTGATCCAGGTGTTTGGATGTTTAATGGTGTCTAGTATCACTCGCATGTTGTTCTCATTTTTTTTTTGTTTTGTTTTGTTATTTTCTCAGTCTTTTTAGTGAATTTTTCTAGGTCAGAAGTTTTATCTTCTACATCTGAAATTCGACCTTCTCCATGATCTTATCTGCTTTTGATATTTTCAAGGAAAGTTTTGATTTCCTGTATTACAGCCTTCATCTCTAACAATTCCATTTGATTCTTTTTTATGATGTGTGTCTCTTCTTTCAGATTGTGCAAGAACGTCCTCTCCTCCTGGAACTTGTCTCTTTTCTCCTGCATTTTCTGGAGTTCCTTGTCTCTCTTCTCTTGCATCTCTGTTACCATTCTCACTGAATATTGTAAATTCTTTATCTGACATTTCCATGAGTTTCCTTGTATTGTCTGTGGAAAATGAGGAATTATTCTTTTCCCTGAGGGGGAAGATATTTTCTTGGTTTCTCATATTTCTTGTGCCTCTGCGGTGATTTCTGGTCACCTGGTGGATTATATGTTCTGTCCTAGTTTTTGGCGTTAGGTCTCATCACTCCGTGAGGACGGCAGGCCTGGCGGTGGGCTGAAGCAGCAGCTAAGGAAGCTGAAGGTAGACGCGTCGTGCATGAAGCGCACAGGCAGCAGTGTGGCAGTTTGTGCTCGTCTAGAAGACGGAGACCCACTTCCGTCCCTGCACTGTAACATTGCAGTCTCCAGAAGATTGTTGTTTATGGACCAGCCAGATTTGTAGTTAGGTTCTTCGGCCTGGAAATCATAGGCTTTAGAAAAATTTAACTTAATTTGCATTTTCAGGCACATGTGTCTACTTTCCTGAGGTTCTAAGTTGTATAAAGAAGTATAGGTCATCCAAACACAAAATGCTCACCGAAGGACCGTATCTTACCGTACTGGTTCCCACTCAGATACCCTTCTCCACTCATCGCTGATTTCCTTCTTTGCCCAGCTAGGTTATTTTGTTTGTAGGCATCACGGTCATTTTTTTCTCAGTTTCTTGGTAAAGTACTGATGATCCAAACCAATTGCTTTGTTCTGCCAAAATGTAAGGTCCTTAAAGAAATACTGATTTGTTTAGTTCATTGGTGATTCCCTGGCACCTTGAACAGTAATCAGCATATACACTTCAGTAAGTGTCCGGTAATTGACTTCTAGGAATTGTGTAGAGGTTTTTGCCTTATGGCACATGTGCTTGCTGGAGAGAGAAAGACAGATAGCGAGAAGGAAAGTGAGAAATCGCCCCCTGGGGGGATGGCCATGCTGCAGTCTTTTCTCCTCCATTCTCCTCTTGGGATCTCTGGCACGTACATGTATGCAAACGTACCCGCACCTGAAATGAGTTTCAAGCCACCGGGTCTGGAACTCGAACTGTGGTTGGCCATGTGGGAGTCCAGCAACGTAACTGCTACATCGTCTGCTGCCCCCTACAGGGATGTATCAAAGACAAGAGAAAACTCTTGAAGTCATTATTGGAGACTTAGGATTGGCTGAAGTCAAATATGAAGAGAAACAGGTGTTTTGTCCTTCTAATCATTTGTCCAAAAAATTCTGATCCATACCCACACCAACAGTGTGAATTGTCACACAGTTGTAATGATAATGCAGTTTTTGTTAGGATGAACATTTCTATTACTTTTTCTGTATTTAGAGTCAAACTTCGTTTTGGTCCTTTATCATTAAATTTTAACTCTTGTTTTAGTGTTTGTGTTGCAGGTGACCTTTGTCAGCTACCAATTATAATAGGAGACTCCCACAGTGTTCTCGGAAAAAATAATGAAGGGGCGAGGAGTTTGCTTTCTTGTTAGAACCTGTCTATGCTGGGGCCAGTGTCTGCTTCTGTGCACTACTGCCTCCTCTTGTAGAGGGAGGAAATAGCCCTCATTGATGGAGAAAGTCCATGAACAAACTATTAATACATAAGTTTGCCCAATTGTAAGATCTTAATTTGCTGACCTAATGCTAAATCATTAATTTACTTGCATTTTGTATAATGAGCTTAATAAATGCAGTGTGCTAATAAAAGCAAATGCAGGTTAATATAACTAGTATAATAAAATTATATATTGTATTTTCTATTCCTGTATAACAAAATACCCCAAAACTTAGTGGCTCAAAAATGTAAATATTTATCTTGTAAGTTTTATTTTTTTTAAGACGTTTTTGCCATAGTGCACGTGCGCTCGCTAGAAAGAGAGAGAGAGACACAGAAAGCAAGAAGTCACTCCCCAGGGGGGATGGCCACGCTGCAATCCCTTCTCTTCCATTCTCCTCCCGGGATCTTGGGCACACACGCACATGCGCCTGGCATGAGTTTAAGCCACTGGGTCCTGGACTTGAACCACAGTCGACTACATGGGAGTCCAGCGACATAACCATTACACTAACTGCTGGTCCCGTAAGTTTTTTTGTTTTAAAGAATTATTTTATTTAACTTTATTTATTCATTTATTTTAACTTGACCAGAGAGAGAGACAGAGCGAGAGACAGAGAAAGAGAGATAAAGCAAGCCGCTAGGTACGGGAGTCGAGCCACAGTTGGCCATGTGGGATTTCAGTGCTCTTAACCACCATGTCACCTACTGCTGGCAACCCCCCCTGTCTTTTTTTATATAAGAATTATTTAGTTTTATTTATGCATTCATTTATTTTAATTTGACCAGAGAGAGAGACAGCGAGAAAGAAAGAAGGAAAGTGAGAAAGCAAGCCACGTGGTCCAGGACTTGAACTGTGGTCGGCCATGTGAGAGTGTCCAGTGCCTTAACCACCACGCCATCTGCTGGTCCCGTCACAGGTTTCTGAGGGTTAGGAATATGGGAGGTGTGCCACTGGCTCAGGGTTTCTCAGGAGGTTGCACTGAAGCTGTGGACAGGGCTGTGGTCTCACGAAGCCTTGATGGGAAGGATCTCCTTCCAGGCTTCAGTGACGATTGTCAGGATTCAGCCATTGAAGGGCACACTCAGCTCTTTACCATGTGGGCCTTTCCAGAGGGCATCTCACAACATGGCAGCTGGCTTTTTTCAGAGGGAGCGAGTGAGAGTACCTAAGATAGAAGCTACAGTTTTTTGTAACCTAATCTCAGACACGACATCTTATCACTTCTGCCATATTTTATTCATTAGAAGTCAGCCGTCTATCCCCTCCCAAGGGAATTGCTTAGGATGTGAGTACCAGCATGAGTGGGATCATTGGAGGGCATTTTAGCTGCTGCCTGCATGCATGGTAGCTACAAATAGAAATGCAATCCATATGTATGATAAAAATACCTCTACTGCATAATTTTTTATTTTGCCAGTAAGAAGCAGTTGTGAAACCAGCAGATGGCATCTGATTTTAAAAACGTAGAACCTCTATCCTTTTTTGTAAGCAAAAATTCTTAAGCACTAGGGATTTTGATATATCAAATATACTATGTGATATATATGCGTTATGACAGATGAGATCGTTTGGGAAGTCATGACGTGTTTTTCCATGCAAACATGCATTACTTCCCTGACGACTCAATAATAAATAGCTAGAGTATTTCCATTGAGATTTTAAAAACTTGATCTCTTGCCTTTGTTCCAATGTGTAAAACTTTGTTTTGAATTCATTAGTGAGATTGAAAACAAAAACTATATTTAATGTTAATTGAATGGTATTTAATCATATTTCTGTGTTCCTTCCTTACCACTAGATCGATCTGGAATAGAAAACGTCAGCTCTGTGGAGGCTTTACAGGAAACACTCATCCATGCACTAAGGACCTTAGTAATGAAAAACCATCCAAACGAGGCCTCTATTTTTACAAAATTGCTTCTAAAGTTGCCAGATCTTCAATCTTTAAACAACATGCACTCTGAGGAGCTCCTGGCCTTTAAAGTTCACCCTTAAGGCCTTCAGTTATTTAAACCTGAACTGATGCTCACTGTATATTTTGTGCTCAAATGCTTATTTATATGTGTATACCATATGTGGAGATAGAAGAGGTCATTAAGACAATACAAGATTGTAGGCTCTATCTGTAACCATGCAGTAGCTGTTCGGAATGAGAACTCTTCAGCCGTGACTAGACATTGACCGCATTTTCCTGATAGACCAGTCAGCTGTGTCGCACTTAAGCTGAAGAAGTTACACTGAACAATAATCACACTGAATGTTAGACTTTTTCATCTGCCAAAACCAAAAATCATGTTATTCTCCCTGTGGTATAAATATAACGCACAAAAAAGAAAAAAGAAAAAAAGGAAAAACCCACAACACAAGTCTGTGAGAATTTAGAAATCGATTCTTTGAGGTAGAAGTGCTGTTGCGTGATGGAGATCCTGGTATTACCATTCGATCATTTGATCTGGTAATTGGAGACCGTGGGAATTAGATCTCCATGTCTGTATTTTACTCTGCCACTGTTGAAGTATACGATCCTGGCAGATTAATGACTGTGGAAAATGAGAACTGTTAGTGTCCCCAGTGACCCACCTCACAGAGATACTGAAAACAAATCTACAAAGCATATTTACCTCTTGGGAGATAGGCACTATGTAAATAAGGTAACATTTTTGTTATTAAAATGACTCAATACTCTTTTCTTATTTTTGAGCCTTTCTGGGAAATCACTTCATGGTCCACACCAGGTTCCTGCATATGTGTGGGGTATCCTACTGATACACACATTCAGAGTTTATGGGTACATCAGATAGGTTATATGTGTATATAATATGTATGTGAATATAGTGATGCGTAAATATATTTCTTCACAATATTTTAAACTGCGAAGAACTTTATCAGACAATAAATTTAAAACAAGAGGTGTCAAAAGACCCAAATTAGGTGCATTTTACCTGTTGATGACATAATCATTGCTTTAAATGTGTAGACAGTAGAGTAGAATATTTGAATTTATGCTCTATTTTTGTTCATTTAAGCAACACTTAATGTAAAAGTGCAACAGGCAGTTGAGCCCAGGTTTTAAAAAACACGTACTTTAGAGTTTATCTTTGGTAAAATCTTTGGTTCAAGGTACTAGTTGTTGAAATCTTCAGATTCTTACCTTGTACTAAAAAAAGATTGCTTTGCTGCCCCTTATACACATGCTGCAGCTTGATGATAAAGAACTTTGATTCTTTCTGGAGAATGAATTAATTTTAAGTAAACTGTGCTTCATATGTTGGCATGTGTGCGTGCGTGTGTACATGCGTGTGTGCACGCATGTGTTGTGAGTCCACTCGTTTTTCTTTTTCCTAAATAACACTACAGGGATTTTGTCAAATTAGATTTAATCTATAATTTGAAAAATCATTTAGTGTGTAATCTACAGGCTTAGAATGGTTTAAAAACATGTCAGTCATATTTTAATAGTGGGCTTTATTAAGTAGATAAGACCAGCCTCTTATGACAGTAGGAGAAATAGCCAAAGTTAAGGAGTTATGAATGTTTCTCTGTTTCTCTGAAAGCTAGCAGCTAATTGGCCGTTTTGGTAACGATTGCCTTCTGTATAATGTTTGGATTATATAAAATTGCAAAAGTGGTAAGAGCCTGCTTTTCTGTCCTAAGCCTGTTAATTCCATGACATGTGAGCAGAATGCCTTATTTTGTAATCTTGTTTAACTTGTCGCTACTGGAACTTGAAGTTCTGTGGCACTGGTTAAGTAATTAAAAGAAGTTAGACCCTCTCATTATTAAAGAGGAAAGGTGATGGTGGTGTCTGTAATACAATATAAACCATGATTATGATTACCTGAAGTAGGTATGCCTTTTATGGGAATATACAGTACAGTTTTTGTGAATTCTTTACATGATAGCATTATCTTTTTATAATTTTTTCCTTAAGATAAACAAATGCATAGTTTTCTTCTATGAGGGATAGAAACAGCTTTTTGAAGTAATATTGAAAACCTCAAAGATCATGTTGATTCTTAATTTTTGCCTTTTGCATAAGCCTCTTTATAACGTGTATCTTTAAAACAGTTAAGTCGTTAGGAATGTGTTATAACCAGACCTGTTAGTATTGCTTATAAAACTTTTAGTTAGGTTCAATATATACATGTGTACATCTATATATAGGCATACAGATTTGTATTTTGTCTTGTAAATTTTTATTTGAATAAATTCTCCCTGTAGGTAATGGGAAAAAATTAATAGTTCATATGCCACTCATAGTATTTCTATATTTGAAAATAGCCCAATATGAAACTTCTAATCCTAAAATTAAACCAGCAGCCTATTACAAGCACATTCTTTGAGTCATTGGTTATAAATTTTATTAACTGCAGAGAAGACTACCAGTTTAGGGAACTTCCGAGTAGGTGGGACACTGTTGATTAATTAATAATGTACTGTATGAATTAAGTGATGCTTTAACTCTGATTTTACACTTTAAAGTTAAAATATGGGCATTATGTCAGCAAACTTAAAGGGCATTATGTCAGTAAGCTAAAACTTTTTTTTCTGTGCTTTTAATGTATCTCTACATGATCTGAGAGAGGATTCACGCTTCCAAAGGGTAATAGCTGAGGGAAAAGGGAGATATCTTGGGATGAAGCTTGTCTTTATGGTTATGGTTTAATTACAGATATACAAATTAGAAGGAACTTTCAGCAGATTAAGTATATAGCTTTCATATCTACATTTCAAAAAATTACCATTGTAACTTGATAAGAAATTATTTATTTTATGTAACATCATTGCAAAGCAAGGTGTAGGTGCTCAGCTAGATTCATTACTGTGCACGAGAGTAAATACCTATCTCAATTATTCCTTTTCTTTTCCAATATAAAGTTTGCTGAATGTACAAGAAGAGTTTATCACTTAGGATATAGAATTTTTTTAGGGGTTGGGATGAGGGTCTCAGTCAGAAAATTGTTACCTATAAACAGATTGTCTTGATTTGATCCAAAACTTAAAACTTGAAACTATTCTTGAACTGACACTGAAAAATAAAATGGCTATTGTTTTTAAAAAGTGGTAGAAGTATATTGTTGAGAGGATATGAGTTAAATTTTTTTTTCTACAAACTGTAATTACTAAGGACATGGATAATACCTTCATGTTGCTGAGAAGGAATCTGTACATGGGGGGGGATAATAAATATTATTTCTAACCAAGTGTGGTGGTGTTTGGTATCTCTCTACCCTCCCAGTTTGTAAAGCCATTTATAGTCTAAGTCAACTTACCAGCAGGGTCTTTTACATGACCTCTGAGTCAGCATGAGGACGCGAATATATATTGGGCTTTAAAAACAAAAAAGGATTTAGAGTTTGCCTAGAGAGGCCAGCAAGGATTTGCTGTTTCCTGTGATTTCAGCCAAATAGGGGTTTGCTGTGTGTGTGTGGAAAGAAGATGGTTGGAGAGAAAGCGGACACGTGGTCTTACCCAGTAATCAGCCAGGGTCATGAATGATTGAGGCCCAACCCGACGACCCTTACCGCCTTACCGCCTTTCGTAGTTCTGCCCGTGGCCGCAAAGTTAAGGCAGTTACTTCAGTTGCTTCGACTCCTGTCTCCCTTATTAGTAATATCCGCTCCTTTTCTGTGGCTATAAATTGGCCTTAAGTCAAGTTGTGGGTTGTAACATCAAAAAAAAAAAAAAAAAAAAAAAAAGCTGGTTTAAACAAGATTGCTGAGATGCTTTTGTTATTTAATGAGGTAGTATGAATGTGAACGTTTTAGGGGGATGCCATTTTCCCCAAACTTCCTCCACTAAAATAACCCCCTTTTGTTTTCTGAGATGAGCACTTGTTGGGAATCCTTGGTCCTTTTTGCTAGAGCTGTGTGCAATGACCAGAGAGAGAGAGTAGGGAACACCCCACCACTCAATGGGGAATGCTCTTGTTGCAATCCCTCTTCATCTTTCCTTCTTGGGATTTTTGACACATACATGCATGCATGTATGTGTTTTTCAAACAGCTTGGTCTAAAAGGCAAACCATGTGATCAGCCATGTGGCATCTGGCTGCCTTAATCACCAGGCCTGGGAGCCTACCTGGACTCCCTACAAAATGTGCTTTTAGGAGGTAAAAACCTTGTTAACTTTAGACCCACCTTGGGTGTTGATCACGGTATGGATAGCTCCAGTGGACTGACATTCTATTTGCCCCCCTTTTTTCAGCAGTCTAACAACAAAACAACTTCAATGTGTGGTTGACAGAATACAAAGTGGAATAAATTCCTTCTGCGTTTTGGAAATTCTGCCTGTGAGTAAATTCACAGATTTGGTTTTTGTTTTTACACTTAATTGAGCCTATGTTGAAGTGTGTCGCGGTGCCGGCAGGTGGCGTGGGGTTTGAGGGGCTGGATCCCATGTAGTGACTACGTGGTTTTTCAGTTGAGCTGGTCACGTGGAAACCATGCCAGGTGTGTGTATGTGTGTGCCCAAGATCCTCAGAAGACAATGGAAGGGAAGGAATTGTGGCATAGCCATCCCCCTTGGTGGGTGGTTTCTCCCTTCTCTCTCTGGCAAGTGCATGTCCCCTGTAACAAATTCTTTGTTTTTCTTCTCAGTCTGGCTAAAAGGTTAGAAACGGCCGTTGCATGTGTTCTAGTGGCCATGTCAGAGTTGCTCTTCACGTGGAAGTTGGTTACTGTGGGTGGCTTCCCAGCATGGGGTATCAGATTACTTAGAACAGCACTCCGTCGAGGGCAGCCTTGCAGGAAACGCAGGGCCTCCTGAGGTGCTGGAGCATCGGGCATAGTCCCCAGAATGGCAGTTTGCCCTCCGAGTCCACATTTCCTATTGTTTTTAGTGTAAGCTACTGAAGGTGAAATGCAGTGTTTTTTAAAAAAGACGCGTAGAGAACACTTCGGGACTGTGATGTTCCTAAAATGTTCTCTCCCATTTTTCCTGCCGAAGTCCACAGAGTTGAATATGCACTTTCAAAGTCTCTGAGGTAAGTGGTGTGTTTTTTCTTTTTAATTTTATCTCTATCTGAACACGTTACCCTTAATCCTAGTAGCCCTTCTCCCATTACTTTGTTACCTGCTTGTAAATAAGCGTTCACCTGCTATTTTCCCCTGTGGTAGCCGTTTGATTTCCTGTTCAGGTTCTACAGTTAAACACAAGTGGGGTGGTTTCCAAAATGGAAAGCGCCTACTTTCATTCTCTCTCAGTGAACTTCTTGCTCCTTACAATGGCTGTTCTCTTCCTAGCTGTTCTGACAAGATAGATTGATTTATTTATTTTTTAATTATTTATTTTTTTGGAGAGGTTTTTGCTATAGGGCATGTGCACTCCCCAGAAACACAGAGACAGAGAGACAAACGGAAAGTGAGAAATCACCCCCCGGGGGAATGGCCACATGGCAATCCCTTGTCCTGCATTCTCCTCTTGGGATCTTGGGCACACACGCACATGCACCTGGCGAGAGATTAAGCCACCGGGTCCAGGACTTGAACCGCGGTCGACTACATGAGAGTCCAGTGACATAGCCATTACGCTAACTGCTGGTCCCCTGACAATATTTTTTAAAAAAGCAATATTTAATTCCATTGGTTTTTTTTTTTTTTTTTTTTTAACTTGACCAGAGACAGGGAAAGTGAAAATGCAAGCCACCAGGCCCGGGACTCGAACTGTGGTCAGCCATGTGGGAGTCCAGTGTCTCTACCACGCCACCTGCTGGCTCCTCTGAGAAGATTTTTGAGGAACAGACTAATACTTGAGTAATGTAGTAACAGCACACATTTATTGAACACCTATGTGTATGTATGTATTTGAATCCGAATGTAAGATGAGGCCCCGTGAAGCCAGGGACCTCGTCCGGATAGCGTTGGGGCGCCATGTGCGTGTGGAGAAATGGTGTCCAGGCAGGGTCTTGAGTCATTGCCAGATGCCGCTCGATAAGGGCCTGGGAGATCTGATTGTTAACATTTCCAGGAATTGAGGAAACTAGTTCTCAGGGACACGACCATTATTAAAAATGAAGCTTTTGGGGCTGGCAGGTGGCATGTGGGTAAGGGCGCTGAACTCTCACGTGGCCAACCACAGTTCAAGTCCCGGACCTGGCGGCTCGGTTTCTCACTTTCCCTCTTTCTCTCTTTCACTCTGTCGCTCTCTGGTCAAATTAAAATAAAGAAAGT